AATATTGGTTAATAAAGAAGGTGATTTGGTCTACGGCAGGGCAGAATATACTTATGCAGGAAATGCAAGCAGAGATAGAGATGAAGAAGGGTGAGGTCAAGAGAGACACCAGCACCCGCTGGAGGAATAAGATGCCAGTGCATTACCAGTAAGCCATGGGGCACATGGCCATATACAGATTCTTCCAAATGGATGAATTTATATGTAGAGCTAGCCAGTAAGATGCCTGAGCCGTCAGCCAACAGTTTGTAATGAATATTAAGCCTCAAGTGGTTACATGGGAACTGGCATGCTGGAGAGGAACCTCCGTTGACAAATTAGTTTCTGGTCTTGGGATCCTGCACTGTAGGCAGTCAGCAAAGGGGCACATTAGGCAGGTGCTTGTAAGGATGCAACAGGGCCTTGGTGTGAAAGAAAGAGCAAGTGTGGTGGCTGTGGTGATCTCTGTAGAGTGAGAGAAAGAAAAGCAGGAAGGTGGGCTCCTGCCTAGGGAAGAATCCACTGTGAGACACTAGCGTGGTGTTGAAATGATTCATATTTCAATAGTAATTGACAACAATGCTACTGAGTCAATTAATGGTTTAAGTAGTTTTATTACTGATCAGAACAAGAGTGAACTCATGATTTCTAAAAGTCTGTAGGTGCCCAAACTCAGGGGCACAGCAAGCTTGCATAAAGACAAAGATCAAAGACACCTAATTTGTATAGAAATTAGATGAAGGTCAGATTAATTTGAAATGTTCCTTCCTTACAGAGCATAATAACTATTTCAATCATACCATGACAATTTTCTTACAGCTTTTTATTTCTTGTGATTTCCTTTATTTACTCTGGTTGATGCATCTGCACCATGGGCATGCCCATGGAAATCTCAAAGACATGAGAAGTCAGATCTGTCTTTTATAGGGGAACACAGGGGGTTGAGAACTGTGTGAGTAGACAGAAGATGGAGTCAGAGCATGAAGGATTTACCTTAGTCATTTCAATGTGAGCCTGCATGCTGTCTTCTGACCTGTCTGCCCTTACTCTTAGTCCTAGTACTCAGAGGGAGACTGCTCTTTTCTGACATCTACAAATACAGAATAAATTGTTCCCAAATGCACAGATTGAAACATAAACATGAAATATCCACAGTGTCAGGGACCCATGAGGAGCCAGGCTTGGGGTTCTTCCTCTGGGGAACTCATGAGTTCCACTGTTGGAAGAAGATTTGACACATGCTCAAGGTTCCATGTCCAAGTTTACTCTCATGACTATTTTCTTGTTCTCTTGGGGCTATAAACTGATCCCAGAGTCTTGTGCTTGCTGAGAAGCCCCTACCACTGAGTTAACACCCAGGTCTCTCATGGCTTTTGATGGGAAATCTCTTTGGACCTACTCAAAGTGAGGCTCATACTTAACTTCTGAGAGGGGATAAAGAGAGAAAGAGACAGAAAAGAAAGAAGCAGGGGTAAGTATGAAAGAAGATGGAAAAGGAAGGGGAGAGGGAAGGAGAGAGGTCAGGTCGGCAGGGTTTGGAGGGACCTGGGAAAGACCTGGCACAGCCTAGGCTGTACACAGCTGTCATCCCAGCACTAGCGCGGCTGAGCCAGGGAGGGCAGGAGTGAGGACAGCCTGGGTATGTTCCTTCTTTTCCTTGTTGTTGGGTCTTATACCCGACTAAAGCAGTTTGAATGGAGAATGGTTAGTCTCTGCTCTTGAGTTCTTGGCAGGACAGGCAGGGTGGCCAGCCAAGGTTCATTCTAAGCCACCAAACGAGATCAGCACATCCCATCTAAAGACCCAGGAAATCTTCGTCAAATTCAGCCAGTTAAATCCCTCTAGCTCATAGTTTTAATGAAAAGTTAAAATCACCTTCTTTATTAACCAATATTAATAAAACATATTCACACAGCCTTCAAAATGTTCCTCTGTAGCCCACTCTGTATTTCTTGCACACTCAGCAAGCGCCTCACCTGGCCTTTGCTCTGTACTGGAGAAGTGACCCATGCCTACATTCCCTTTGTGATCCTAGCTGGATTCGGTTGCTGGTAGTTTCCCATGACTCTAATCTCACCACATGGTAACACAAAGAGACTCCCTAAAGGATCACATGACTCTAGACACAATCTTTCTCCTCTCCACTGTGGAGAAGCAATCCAATTTTGCTTGGTTATCTGGACCAATCACTAAACCTAATACTGTTCCTCCATTCTTAGACTGTTGGATAAAAGGCATCTGAGCCCCAAAGTGGTCAGGTAAAAGTCAGAATTTTCAGTTCAGTGGAATGTTCGTTATGTCTCCTGGCAGGAATGGTTCTTCCTATACAACCACAACTTCTGGGTCAGCAGAATTTAGGTCATAGGAATAGGATTTGAAAACCTTCATTTAGATCACTAGGGCAATAGTGAGTGGAACCCTGCCTTTGTACTATAAGCTCCAGGACCTGTGGGTGGCTGCCAATGGGAAAAACCATACTACATATTGGGCAATGTTTTGAAACATTTATCGCCCTCAAGAGAAGTGCTCCAGAACTCTGAACTGTTGCTACATAATTGGCTCCATAACTGGGTATTCAAAAGGCCATTCTGCCTCTGTGTCCCATGCAGATTTATTTAATTTTAATATTTTATTTTCTTCCTGGAGTCTGCAATCTGGAATAAGGTTTGCTTCTGGTTTATTAGATTTTGGTACTCTGTCCCCATCTTTTCACGACCCTCCTGGACCCAACACCCTTAGCCCATGAGAAGGTAATTAGCCTCTGATCCTGCAATGTTCCCATCTCTCTCCAGTACTGAAATTCAGATCAGCCAGCCTAGCTCTGCAGACACAGAATCCTTTCAGGGCTTTCCCTTCACTGCCAAACAAGGCAGCTTCCCTTCAGAATTCTGATGCCAAAGAGGACACAGCGAGTCTCTGTTAAGAGAATGTCTATTGATGTCAGACAAGAGAGGATGCTGGTTTGTTTTGTCAGCATTGAGGCCGGTGTTTATTAGCGCATAAGTTTCCCTAAAGAAATCAGAGAGCATGGACACAGAGTTGTGTTCTTTTCAAAGAGACTTAAAAATACAGAACAAATGTTAGCTGCAGCCCTTCCTGGTGACGAGTGGGGCAGGTGTTTGCACACTCTCATTGTTCCTGACATGCCCTGGATATTCAGAACGCTTGTTTACAACACTTTTGGGCAAGGTGGCTCTGCTAGCAGAAACCTGAAATTCATGTTACCAGAAATCCTTCTGTCTGCCCATTTCCAGTCTGAGCACACAGCACAGCTTGTAAGTGCCAGCATTTCCCAAGAAGAGGGAGGAGTCCATGGTAGGGATAAATCGGCATCAGTGTGCAGCATACTGAACAATACAGCAGAATGCAGCAAAGATGAACATCAGAACTCAGTTATCCAAGAAGCTGACAGTAGGTACCAGCTATCAGGTAATGCCAAGGATTCCTCCCCTCTGGGAACAAAGGAAGTGCTTTCCCAAGACTGCGTGATTCTGGTGATGACCCACAGTCTTGATTTGGAGGAGGAGTGATGAGTTGTTCCTGGGTTACTAAAGTGGAATCAGGGGACATTTTTGGGATATACATAAATCTTTTCCCCAGTCTGGATCTTTATGTTTATGGAAGATGCAAGAGCCATGAACTTTGCTCCTATAGAGTGAAAGGAGCCTGCTCCTTTCCGTACTCCACAGGCAGGGAATACTGAGACCTTGTCTATCTTACTTAGGGCTGAAGGAGCTAAGGAGAGACCTTCCACACAATGCTTACAGTTGACAGGAGATGTCTTAAGGTCAGGAACCCAGTTACCTTGTAGGTCCCATGGCCGAGCAGAGGGTCTTCAGCCTCATCTAGGGAAGGGAGAAAGCAGTAGCTCAGCCACTGAGCCAGGCCTCCTGCTGCACACATGGAGCAGCCCCTTTCCTCTGGAAACAATTCTGACACAAAATAGTGTTCAGTGCTTCTCCAAAGAAATGCTTGCATCAGTAGGAAGTAAACATGGAGTAAAGGCAGCCAACTGAGGTCCCCGGCTCCTCTGCAGGAGAGTAACAGCCCTGAGGACAAGCAGCTTAGCTCCAGCCTTCCCTCCTCTGCCCCCTCCAATTCCCTCTGTGCTCTTCTAGTCTTCTCTCCCCTCCACCTTCCATTTGGCTCCTCCTCCCTTCATGGCCCTCTCTCCTCCTATCTCCTTGTCCCCTTTTCTTCCATTTTCCCACTCCTTGATTCCTCCAGCCCTCCCCTGTTTCTTTTCTCCTTTTTTTCCTTCTCCCTTCCATGTACTTACCATCCACTTTCACCTTTGGACACCTGAGCAAAGGGACAGAGGCTAAAGGTGATCACAAGTCTTTAAATGTAATCCTTTAGGATGCCTGCGGCCACCACTCCAGAGGCATATGGAAGAGTAGTCCTCTAGAAATTCCATTCATCTATCCCTTTTATACCCATAATAACTCAAACATTTGCCAAAAATGGAACCTGTTTCACTACCACACTGCACAGTGAGGTCCATCCATTTGCTTGCTACCACACAGTCATCACAACCTGGTGTCATCTGTCTTCCCACCAGGAGGCCTTCCAAGCCTGAGGTGCAAACCACCCTGTTTTCTCATGCAGCACTAAAAGAACCTTTCCTGTTTGTCCTTCTCCCTCCTATTCCCAGGGGTGCCAAGGCTGTGGCACCAAACAAGATGTCTCCAGAGCTACTTCCCAATTATATTATTCTTCCCCAGGCCTGGTCATAGAACAAATTCAGTCAAGGGCCTTGGGATTTCCCAGACTCACCGAGAGGCTCAGTTAGGGTCTGTGCTAACTACTGCTGAAAGGGTCCTAAGTTACCCCTACAGGGAGGTGGGGCATGAAGGAGTGCAAAGGAAGAGGGTTCCCTGTCTTCCAATGAATCCTTCTGCAGAGAGAGAATGAAAGAAGCCATTCTGATTTGACATGGTTCGTGCCTGCCCCCACACCCCTGTTGCCCTTCTTGATTGTTCTGTGACCAGGGATGTCCATGCCCCACTCTGTATCTTGGTTCATCGTAGGGAGATTGGCTGCTGCAGCAGCACTTCCTCCAGTGCTGATAACAGGGAGCACATGACATGAGGGAGGCAGAGCACCTCCCATGTACCTTCAAGGAGGCATCAAGGGCAGCAGAGCAGGGATACAATGCAGCCCTGTGGGAGGACATGGAGATGCTCAGGATACCCCCTCCCAGACTCAAAGGGGCTTTGCTTTTCAGCCTGGAGAACAAAGAAGATTATCCTCCTTGTAGTTCCCTGGCTCTTGATGGTGGGGATCTACCATGCTATCCTCCGCCAAAAAGATGGCAAACTGGAAAGTTACACTGAACTTCAGGAAGACAAAATCAATGGGACAAGAGTGGACAGTCTAACCCTGGCCTCCATCAACACTGACTTCGCATTCTGTCTCTATTAGAAAATGGCCTTGAAGAACACTGATTAAAACATCCTCTTTTCCCCACTCAACATCTCAGCTACCTTGGCTTTCCTATCCTGGGAGCAAGCAACAACACCCAGGAAGATATTCTAGAAGGTCTTAAGTTCAATCTCACAGAGACCCCTGAGGCAGACAACCACAGGCGCTTTGGGCAGCTCCTCCACATGCTCAGCCAGCCAGGGGACCAGGTGCAGATCAGTACAGGCAGCACCATGTTTTTTGGAAAGTGCCTAGAGATCCTGGCAGAATTCAGGAAGAAGGCAAGAGCACTTTACCAGGCTGAGGCCTCAACAACTGACTTCCAGTAGCTTCATAAGGCCAAAAAACTCAATGACTATGTGAGGAAACAGACCCAGGGGAAGATCAAGGAACTGATCTTAGACCTGGATGAGGACACAGCAATGCTGCTGGTGAACTACATCTGCTTAAAAGGTGAGGATGGGCACTGAATGGGGTGTGGAGGGAAAAGATAGTGACTGGGAACCTAGATTCTTATGCTGACCCCTTAAAAGGGGGGTGGCTCACAACCTGGAGACATGGGTGACTCATGTCTCTCTACCCACAGCTCCTAGTTCTCCCCTAGGGATTTTTGGATATAGTTGTGGTTCCTGGCACATGCTCATCAGATGAGTTCTCAGTCTAAGAATACTGAATTTGGCTGTGATTTAAACTTATTCACTAGCAGAATGCATAGCTCACTAGTCCAGTCCTTCCTGAGTGTGAAGAAGCTGTGATTTCTCCCTGCAGAGACCAGGTCCCTCATTCTGCCCACTCCAGCATCTCTAAGATCCATTCAGAGCAGTAAGTGTGTACCTGCCTGGCCGTCCAATCTCGGGAACGGAATACAAACCCCCTCCAGCTCCTGCTGCAGGGGCTTCTTTGTTCCACATGACCCTGCCTCCCCAAAGCCCACCCTTTTGTCTGCGAGGTCCTTGGCCCAGCAAGAGTCCTGCTCCTATACCGAGGAGATCCATTTAGAGGGGTTATTGCATGCTCACCCAGCAGGACAGTTCCAGGAATGGAGTACAGGCCCCCTTCATTTCTCTAAACATTTCTGGCCATTCATCAGGGTGTCTCCCTGGCTACTGGCTTTCTCCATTTCCCCATTCCATCTTGCCCCAAAGCACTCCTTTCCATCTGCAGGGTCCTAGGATCCCCCAACTCATCTTTCTTTGGGGCTGAGGATCTGGGGAGCTAGTGGTGAGTGCTGCTGCAGGGGCTTCTTTGTTCCACATGACCCAGACTCCCCTCAAGCCTGCTGTTTTTGTCTGCAAGGTCCTTGGCCCAGCAAGAGTCCCTGCTCCTGTACTGAGGGGATCCATCCAGATGGATAAGTGTGTGCCCACCCAGCTGGACGGTCCCAGGAATGGAGTCCTTCTCCATTTCCCTAAATGTTTCTAGCCATTCAGCAGGGTGTATCCCTGGCTACTGGTTTTCTCTAGTTACCCCATCCCATCTTGCCCCAAGCCTTCCTTTCCAACTGTGGAGTCCTTAGATCCACCAGCAAAGCCTGCTTGAGGGCAGAGGTGATCTGAGAGCCAGCTTCAGTGCTGAGGGGTCCTAAGAAAGGGAAGACCAAGAAAATCCCCCAAGTGCACAGTCAGTCACACCAAAGATAGGACCAAGATGCCAAGACTCTCCTGGCTGCATCTGAAGTAAGAGATGGGCAGACGCCAATGCAAGAATTCCTCCAAAACCTGAAAAGCAACATGACAACACCAGAATCCAGTGAACACTCAACAGGAAGACTTGGCCACCCTAATCCAGAAGAAGTAGAAGAAGTCGACTTTAAACATAACATTATGAAAATGATAGAGGCCCTTAAAGAGGACTGAAAAACTCCTTTAAAAATGGAAGAAAAGACAAACCAAAAGCTAGAGGAAATTAATAAAGCCCTCAAAGATACCCAAGAAAACCAAGAAAAAAGCAATCACACAGGTAAGGAAACAGTTCAAGACTTGAAGACCGAAATGGAGGTAATAAAGAAAACACAAACTGAGGGATGGTTGGATATGGAAAATCTGGGTAAATGAACAAAAACTACAGAAAGTATAACCAACAGAATACAAGAGATAGAAGAGAGAATATCAGATGCTGAAGATTCGATGGAGGAAATAAACTCATTCATCAAAGAAAACAACAAATTCTGAACACAAAACATCCAGGAAATCTGGGACACCATGAAAAGACCAAACCTAAGAATAATAGGGGTAGAAAAAGGAGAATTACAGCTCAAAGGCCCAGAAAATATATTCAACAGAATTATAGATGAAAACTTTCCCAACCTAAAGAATGATATTCCTATGAAGGTACAAGAAGCATACAGAAGACCAAATAGACTGGATTAAAGCAAAAAACATCCCCTTGCCATATAATAATCAAAACACAAAACATACAGAAGAAAGAATATTAAGAGCTGCAAAGGAAAAAGGTGAAGTAACATATAAAAGTAAACCTATCAGAGTTACACCTGACTTCTCTGTGGAAACCATGAAAGCCAGAAGGTCGTGGATAGATGTGCTGCAGACACTAAGAGACCATGAATGCTAGCCCAGACTACTATACCCAGCCAAGCTTTCTTCACCATCGATGGAGAAAATAAGATAATCCAGAACAAAAACAGATTTAAACAGTATGTAGCACAAACCCAGCCTTACATTAAGTACTAGAAGGAAAACCACAACCCAAGGAAGACAATAGTAACCACAATAACACAGACATCTGACAACCCTCCACCAGCACAACAACACACAAACACTACCACCAAAAAAAAATAACCGGTGTTAACAACCACTGTTCACTAATATCACTTAATATCAATGGACTCGATTCACCTATAAAAAGGCACAGGTTAAGAGAATGGATAGGAAAACAGGATCCAACATTCTTTTATTTACAAGAAACACACTTCAACCTCAAAGACAAACACTCCCACAGAGTAAAGAGATGGGAAAAGGTTTATCAAGCAAATGGACCTAAGAAACAAGCAGGTGTGGCTATACTAATATCTAACAAAATTGGTTTCAAACTAAAATCAATCAGAAGAGATGGAGAAGGGCACTTTATACTCATAACAGAAACACTATATCAGGATGAAGTCTCAATCCTGAATATCTATGCCCCTAATATAAAAGCACCCACATATATAAAAGAAACATTACTAGAACTCAAATCACATGTCAAACCCCACACACTAATAGTAGAATATTTCAACACTTTTCTCTCACCATTGGACAGGTCAACTAGACAGAAACTTAACATAGAAATAAGAGAACTAGCAGGTGTAATGAATCAAATAGACTTAACAGACATCTATAGAACATTTCACCCAAATAGAAAGAAATATACCTTCTTCTCAGCATCACATGGAACCTTCTCGAATACTGATCACATGCTTGGTAACAAAGCAAACATCCACAGATACAAAAAAAAATTGTAGTAACCACCTGTGTCTTATCAGATCACCATGGAATAAAGTTAGAATTCAACAACAGTTCTGCCCCCCAGAAAGCCTACAAACACATGGAAACTGAACAGTCAACTACTGAACCACCCCTGGGTCAAGGAAGAAACAAAGAAATTAAAGTCTTCCTTGAATTCAACGAAAATAAAGGCACAATGAAAATATATACCCAAACCTATGGGACACTATGAAAGCAATGCTAAGAGGAAAGTTCATAGCACTAAGTGCCCACATAAAAGAAAACGGAAAAAGCACACACTGGAGACTTAACAGCACACCTGAAAGCTCTAGAAAAAAAAAAAGAAGCAGACTCACCCAGGAAGAATAGAAGACTGGAAATAATCAAACTGAGGGCTGAAATTAACAAAATAGAAACACTGAAAACAATCCAAAGAATCAATGAAACAAAAAGTTGGTTCTTGGAGAAAATCAACAAGATTGACAAACCCCTATCCAAAGGCAGAAAGAGAACACGCAAATTAACATGATCAGAAATGATAAAAGGGACATAACAACAGACACTGAGGAAATGCAGAGAAACATTTGGTCATACTACCAAAGCATGTATGCCACAAAATTGGAAAATGTAAAAGAAATGGACATTTTAAAAGATAAGTACCATATACCAAAATTAAATCAAGATCAGGTGAACAATTAAAATAGACCTATAAGTCTTGAGGAAATAGAAGCTGTCATCAAAAACCTCCCAACCAAAAAAAGCCAAGGACCAAGTGGTTTTGGTGCAGAATTCTATAAGAACTTCCAAGAAGAGCTAATACCTATACTCCTTACTGTGTTTCACATAATAGAAACAAAAGAGTCAGTGCCAAACTCTTTTTATGAAGCTATAGTTACTCTGATACCAAAACCACACAAAGACTCAACCAAGAAAGAGAATTACAGACCAATCTCACTCATGAACATCAACACAAAAATTCTCAATAAAATACTGGCAAACTGAATTCAGGAACACATCAATAAAATTATCCATTATGATCAAGTAGGTTTCATTCCAGAGATGTAGAGCTGGTTCAACATACAAAAATCTATCAATGTAACCCGTCATATAAATAAACTTAAAGGAAAAACCATATGATCATTTCATTAGATGCTTAAAAAGCATTTGACAAAATTCAACACCCCTTTATAATAAAGGTTTTAGAGAGATTAAGGATACAAGATTTATACCTAAATATAATAAAAGCAATATACAGCAAGACAACAGATAACATCAAATTAAATGGAGAGAAACTTAAAACCATTTTAATAAAATCAGAAACCAGACAAGGCTGTCTACTCTCTCCATACTTATTCAATATAGTGCTTGAAGTTCTAGCAATAGCCATAAGACAACATAAGGAGAAAAAGGGGATTCAAATTGGAAAGGAAGAAGTCAAACTTTTGTTATTTGAAGATGATATGATAGTGTGCATTAGTGACCCCAAAAACTCTACCAAAGAACTCCTACAGCAGATAAATACCTTCAGTGATGTGTCAGGATACAAAATCAACTCAAAAATATCAGTAGTTCTTCTATACACAAAGGATAATGAAGCAGAGAGGGAAATCAGAGAATTTCCTTTCATGATAGCCACAAATAGCATAAAGTATCTTGGGGTAACACTAACCAAGGATGTGAAAGATCTATTTGACAAGAACTTTAAGTCTCTGAAGACAGAAATTGAAGAGTATATCAGAAAATGGAAAGATCTCCCATGCTCTTGGACTGTAGGATCAACATAGTAAAAATGGCAATTCTACCAAAGAATATCTATAGATTCAATGCAATTCCCATCAAAATCTTAACAAAATTCTTCACAAACCTTGAGAGAACAATAATAATCTTTATATGGAAAAACAAAAAAACTCAGGATAGCAAAAACAATCTGATACAATAAAGGAACTTGCGGAGGCATTACCATCCCTGACTTCAAACTCTATTACAGAGCCACAGTAATAAAAACAGCTTGGTATTGGCATAAAAACAGAGACACGAAACCTGCAACAGACAAATGCCTGATCTCCAAAATATATAAAGAACTCAAGAAACTAGACTTTAAAATTCTAAATAACCCAATTAAAAAATGGGGTACTAAACTGAACAGAGAATTCTCAACAGAAGAAGTTCAAATGGCCAAAAGATACTTAAGGTCATATTCAACTTCTTTAGCAATCAGGGAAATGCAAATCAGAACAATTTTGAGATAACATCTTACACCTGTAAGAATGGCTAAAATCATAAACACAAATGATAGCCTATGCTGGAGAGGATGTAGAGTCAGGGGGACACTCATCCATTGCTGGTGGGAATGCAAACTTGTGAAACCACCTTGGAAATCAGTGTGGCGATTTCTCAGGAAACTGGGAGTCAACCTACCTCAGGATCCAACAATACCACTCTTAGGAATATACCCAAGAGATGCCCAATCGTACTAAAAAAGCATTTGTTCAACTATGTTCATAGCAGCACTATTTGTAATAGCCAGGACCTGGAAACAACATAGATGCCCCTCAATGAAATAATGGATAAAGAAAGTGTGGCACATATACACATTAGAGTACTACTCAGTGGTAAAAAAAAANAAAGACTTCTTAAATTTTGCATACAAATGGAAGAAAATAGAAAACACTATTCCTGAGTGAGATAACCCAGACCCAAAAAGATGAATATGGCATGTACTCACTCATTAGTGGATTCTAGCCATAAACAAAGGACATTGAGCCTATAGTTCTTAATCCTAGAGAAGCTAAGTAAGAAGGTGAACCCAAAGGAAATTGGAAGCAGACAAGACAAGATCGCTGGGGTAAAAGTTGGGAGCATAGGGATGGGGGTTAGAATGGGGGAAGGGGGAGAGAGAAGGGAGAAGAGGGGGGTTGGGGTAAGCTTAGGGTAGTGGGATGGTTGAGATGGAGGAAGAGTAGATATGGGAGCAGGGAAGAAGATATCTTTATTAAGGGAGCCATTTTAGGGTTGGCAAGAGGCTTGGCTCTAGAGGGGTTCCCAGGTGTCCACGGGGATGTTCCCAGCTAGGTCATTGGGCAGTAGTGGAGAGGGTGCCTGAACTGGCCTTGTCCCATAGCCACACTGATGTATATCTTGAATATCACCATAGAACCTTTATCTGGCAATGGAAGGAGATAGAAACAGAGACTGACATCGGAGCACTGGACTGAGCTCCCAAGGTCCAGTTAAAGAGCAGAAGGAGGGGAGAACATAAGCAAGGAAGTCAGGACCACGAGGGGCTGGTCCACCCACTGAGACAGTATGAATGATCTAATCAGAGCAAACCAAGGCCAGCTGGACTGGGACTTAATGAGCATGTGATCAAACCAGACTCTTTGAATGTGACTGACAATGGGTGCTGACTGAGAAACCAATGATAATGGTACTGGGATTTGATTCTACAGCATGTACTGGCCTATTGGCATCCTAGTCTGTTTGGAAGAACACCTTTCTAGGCCTGGATGGAGGAGGGGGGTACTTGGACTTCCCACGGGGCAGGGTACCCTGCCTCTCTTAGGACTAGAGGGGGTGGAGGGAGGGTGAGAGGAGGAGCGGGAAGGAAATGGAATGAGAAGAGGAGGTGGAAATTTTGATGGTATTATTTATAAAGAAATAAAAAAATCTTAAAAAAAGAAACTGATAATAAATGTAGGTTAGAGGTTTATCACAGAAGTCACAGAGTGTAAGATATAATTTCTAGTACTCTGTTGTCACTACAGCGACACCTCTGCCGATTAGAGCTGAGTGAACACAAACTGACCACATTCTGTGCAGTTATACGTTTATTGCATTTTGTGAAAGCCATGCATTTTGGGTAAGGAAGGGGAGGTATCCATCCAGTGTATGATGTGGGCCGGTGGAAAACCTAGGAAAAGGCTCCTCTCCCCCAAGTAGGTAGAGTAGGGGAAAGGAGCTGAGCTGAACAATCGACTCCATGCAGAAGCAGGAATATGTTGTCCTCCACAGTGCCAGATATGGGCAGGCCCAGGAGCTGCGGAAGGAACATTGGGTGTCAGAGCCTGGGTGAGGAAAAGTTTGAGGCAGGAACTGGACTCACACTGGTCCCAGATGCTAGAAACACAGAGAGTGCAGCCAGTTTCATTCTAAGTCCTGGGCCTGAGATTAACAAAATAGGGCTAAAAGCTTGAATAGTCCCATGAAGCCTGTGGAAGGTGAAGGCAGATATAACCACAGCACAAATAGGGGCTAAGCCTGCATGCCAGGGACTAGGCTTTGGGCAGAGGCACATACAGGAGAGGCAGCAGGGAGGGGCCAAAGAGTCAGAGTTCAGTCTCAGAAACATAAGTTAGTGCTGTCCAGAGTATGGGGAGTCTGACACTGTCTGTCCACAGAACCTGTGCATGGTGCAGTCACACAGTTAGTCACCGCCACTCTCCACTCAGGCACACACAGCCAATCAGAGAATGGAGGCCAAAATGCACATAGAGACCCACATGCAGGCTTAATCCCTGGCTCCCAGGAAGAAGCCTTATCACTTGGGAAGTTCTAGTTTTCCTTGGGATTTGTGACTTTGGCCATAAAGAGTGAAGTCTGGGTATTTGTGTCAGAGATAATCATCAGGAATGGCCTGTTGAAATTCACATTCAAAGGATTAATATTTTGAGATGCTGCCACAATCCCGATTCCCGTGGCAGCTGCTGCTTCTGTTCCCTACTTGAGGGAGCTGAGAAACAGTTGAGGATCTGAGGCTGAGGCATGTACTACAGACTTAGAGTGAAGGTGCTGAGACTGGGGCTTGGGAGTGCTTGGGAACCCTTCTTCCTCAGGGGGAACTTTGTCTAGAAGGAAGTCCCTTGTGGACAGGTTTTAAGGAAATCAGGACAAGGGAGACTGTGTTCTCCTACACCATGGTCTCGGAGTGGTTCCCGTCAGTGTGAAACACCTTAGTGGGAGTCAATGTCCAGATCCATGGGTGGGTTTAGATGCAAGCCTGTGACATCTGCAACTTCCCACAGCTGGATTATCAGTTGCCCATAGTTAATTGATGACGACACGGCTAATGGGTCCTCTACTCTTCCATGATCTATGTTCTCCTCTATGAATCAAAATTATCCTGCTCAGACTTGTCCCACCTCCCAAGTGCATGTGCCCGTCTGCAATACATCCTTGGGGACTTGGTACTTGGACAGTTTCCTTGGGTCAGGATCCAGCAGATAAACACACATCTCCACTCACAGGCAAGCTGCCGTTGTACTTGGGTCCTTGGCCAGCAGAGGGAGCCAACCCCGCAGTCTCACCCTTCAGACCATCCCTCTGCTTCCTCTCTGCAGAGCACAACAGCTCTGGGCATTCATTCCATCCTGTCCTCTGTCCTACCTCCCACTGTCCCCGGCCAACTAGTTTTCTGTCTATGGTCTCCGATCCCACCATGGTGATAATGGACTGAACCTCTGAACTGTAGTGGGTTTCGCCTGTGAAATGCTTTCCTTTATAAGAGTTGCCATGGTCATGGGGTCTCCTTACAGCAGTAGAACACTGACCAAGGCTCTGAACTCCATTGGAACCATGACTTCGGCATACTCAGGTAGGACTGCACATGTGACCCGTGCATTCTGATAGTCAGTAAGTTTAGGTCACAGTCAAATTCAGCTATCTTAGACTGGGAGCTCAGGGGTTCTGTGGAGTACGTACAAGGAACCACATGTAAATAAAAACAATCCCAAAGAAGTAAGGCCTTTTAATAATAATAAGTTAGGCACCCCTGTCTCCAAGGCCATGAGCCCCTCATTTCCAGGTGTCAGTGTATGGACACAAGGTGTCCAGGCAACACCCTTTCCAACAACCCATGAATCAGTGCCCATCCTACCTTTAAAGTAGATGTAATTCACCAGCACCATTACTGTGTCCTCATCCAGGCCTGAGATCAGTTCCTTGATCTTCCCCTGAGTCTGTTTGTTCACATAGTCATTGATGAGCTTTTTGGCCTCATGAGGCTGCTGGAAGTCGACACTTGAGGCCTCTGCCTGGTACAGCTCCCTTGCCTTCTCCTTGAACTCTTCCAGTATCAGTAGGCACTTTTCAACAAACATGGCGCTGCCTGTGCTGATCTGCACCTGGTCCCCTGGCTGACTGAGCATGTGGAGGAGCTGCCCAAATCCCTGGTGGATGTCTGCCTCAGGGGTCTCTGTGAGATTGAACTTGAGACCTTCTAGAATCTCTTGCAGGGTGTTGTTGCTTGCTCCCAGGGACAGGACGGCCAAGGCAGTTGAGACGCTGAGTGGGGAGAAGACGATGTTTTCATCTGGATTCTTCATAGTCAACTCCTTGTAGAGGCTGAAGGCGAAGTCAATGTTGGTGGAGGTAAGTGCTAGACTGTTCAATAGTGTCCCGTTACTTTGGTTTTCCTGGATTGCACTGCTCCTTCCCAAGGTGCCATCTGGCTGGCAGAGGACAGCAGGGGAGTTTCCAGCCATCACTCTGGTCTCCTGGTTGAAAAAAAAACATATACTTTTATCTGGGATTTCCACGTGATTCCCTGACCACCTTCAAGTCCTCCCACCTGGCCTGCACTGTGTCCCTTTGCTGCCTTTGTGACTGTGCATGGGAAGTTCCCTGGCCCCTCAGATGGCAGTGCCACACCCTCTGCTCCTTTTCACTACAGGAAGAAGAATGTTGCTGTAACCAGTTTTCCTAATTGAGAACCAAGGCCCAGAGAGATGAAGGAAATGCCAGGGTAACAGGGTAAGCAAGAGAAGAGCTGGGGATGGGCTCAAGGCTTCTCTTCTGGCTTGGCTTAAGTGCTCATTAGAAAGCAGGGGACCTCTTCCTTTTGACTTGTGCCCTCTACCCCATCACCAATTTCTAGTTGGACTCAGGGAACAAAACTTAGTCCAGCTATATAGCAGGGAACCGACCACAACCTCAAACAGACATGGCTTAGAAATCTCACAACCCTGGATTGAATTTTAGTGCAAGTATTTGGGAGTGTTTGGGATTAATTTACCACAGCACTGCAGACACCTTGGGAAGCATCAGAGCCTTGGCCCCCTGAGAACAAGTGTCAGAAAGATGGGGAGAGGGAGGGTCTTACAGTCCTGCCAGGATCCACATTGTTCTTTGTATCTCAATAAAAACGTCTCCTGATTGGAAGAAAAATGAATGATTCCAGAGTCTATGCTACCTGGACCAGATTTCATTTTGGCTATCAAGATGAATGTTTGGTGTCAAGAAATGGGCGAGGCTCCCTGGCAGGCTGGTACATTATTAGTAAAAGAGCAGCTTATTACGGGCATTGTGGGTATTTGTAGGGGATGTCCTGATGGCCATCGCCTACATACATCACTTGACTGGGGACACTGGCATCATAAAGACTATATTTGAAGGTTTATGATCATGGTAAACACTCCACCCACCTTTAGCCTCTGTCTACTCTGTCGATAACTTCAGAGGAAACAGTAGATGCTAGAGGAATGGAAAAGTAAGAAAGAAGAACGGAGGAGAGAGGGCACAGTGGGGAAAGGATAAAAGAGTGGGAAAGCAGAAGGAAGAGGAGGCAGGAGGAGGGAGGAGAACAGATGAAGGAGCTGATGGGCAGATGGAGGGGAGCGAAGACTGTGACAGTACAGGAGGAGAGGAGAGTAATCAGGGGAGGCAGGTGTTGGAGCAGAGCCACATGTCCCCAGGCATGTAACATGCTTGCAGTGGGACGGGGACTTCAGCTGTCTTACCTTGTTTTTTTTTTTTTCTGTCAGATTGATGCAATTATTTCTTTAGAAAACATTCAACAATATTTTATGTCAAAAATTAATTCTACAGAAAACTGGCTAGTCTGTGTGGTAGACTTGGCTCACTGGCTGAGCTGTATTAGGAGAGGGTGAGGTCCCTTTTCTTGGCAATGGGATCTTCTGGGGAAGTGAGGTTTCTGACCCCAAGATTTTCTAGTCTGCTGCAAGCATGGCAGTGATTCCATCCCCCCATAGGGACTCTGTAAATTCCCTGTCCTCCTCTGCTTCTTACAGCAGCACCCAGGCTAGTCAAGGTCTCAAAACTTCCTCCGTGTGGAGGGTGGGACGGAGCAGGCTCCATTCTCTCTCCAGGAGCAGAGCCCATGGTTCCTCCTCCATCTTCCATAGATAGGGAGACCCAGAGTGAAAAACAGATTTTATGCACCCCAGAAATGTTCTCTGATCCTAGTCAGTGCCACAGGATCAACTACTCTCTCATCCAACCCAAGACTCCAGGGATTCATCAGTACCACACAGACCTGGGAAGTCTTCTATGTCCTCTGAGAGCAAGATTCTTTGGAATCACCTGCAGAGCTGATGCCCGCTGCCAGAGTCTTTGATAGCTGAGTCCTGATGTTCCCTGTTGCTACTGCCTAGTGCGTTGTTCTGTCCACTGCACACTGATGCCTACTTATCCCCACCAGGGACTCCTCCCTCTCTTTAGGAAATGCTGACACAAACAAGCTGTGGTCTGTGCTCTGTCTGGTAATGGACTGATTTATGCTTTCTAGTAATGTGCATTTAGAAGCCCTTCCTTAGAGACAACCACTTCCTGATCCAAAGCTTGGCTTGCTGATCTGAATTTCAGTACTGGCGAGCGATGGAAGCATTCCAGGACGCGAGGCTAATTACCTTCTCCTGGGCTAAGTGCTGCCTCTCTATAACAGCCATGTTTGCATTCTTCCATGTAAGAACTCAACCTTGCGACTATAGAGTCTATTACCTTATAGACATCTAGCTTTAGTCCATAGCTAAGAATGCCAGCAGACAGCATCTTGAGCCCATAAAGAAGCCTCTTCATCTTGATGCACCTGCATCTCTGCATCTGCACCCCTGCATTTAAACATGCTTTTACTGTGACTTTCTTTGTTTTGTAGAGCTTTCATGAACTATTTCCGGGTGGAACATGAAATTTGGGGTAACGGCAATCTGTGTGTCAGATCCCTGTCAGTCAAAGGCTCTAATAAAGTCTCTGTTATTCTCGTTAGGATGAGAGCTGTGGTGTCTGCTTCAACAGTGGGGTCAGAGACTCAGCAGGCATGGGTTAGTTCCAAAGCTGCTGTCCCCAAAATGGAGGTGCTGGTACAAACAAAAATTTTATCTAGATAAAAGCTTAAAGTCTCCATGTCACAGAGAAGCAGATCACCGATGGTGCACTTCTGCTTGCCAGAGGTCACCCTAACCTTCCCACAATGTCAACTACCTCCCCAAGGGCACCCAGCCGACTTTCAGCTCAGACAATTCTGAATCAGCTCAAAGATCACAACCCTGCTATCATATAAAAATCTGTTTTCTTTTCTGTCTTTTTGCTCCTTTTCTCAGCCACCCCAGAGAGAGGTGACAGCTTTGACAGTTTAATCCCCAACAAATCTTTGTTTCTTGCCACAGTTTCTGTTGCCAGGGAGAGACTTCTGGGCGCCTTTGAAGAGGACCAATCCTCCCTAACAGATCTAAAGTGCTGATTTTTTTACCCTCTTGTGTGCCAGTCATTTGCTTCTGCTGGCCCTGGCCCTCTGTATTCCCCTGCTGTAATGATATTTCATTTATATTTTAATAAATTAAGCTTGCCTGAAGGACAGAGAGTGAAGCAGCCCCATTGGTCAGCCGTACAGACCAGGCAGTGGTGACACACACCTGTAATCCCAGCAGCCACACTAGTTTGAAATAGAAGTCAGGCAGTTGAGGTACATGCCTTCAATCCCAGTCCTAGGGAGATATAAGATGTGGGGAGACAGCTCTTCCACACAGTCTCCTTCTGAGCCTCCTGGAGACTGGATGGCCATTTCAGACTGAGGTAGGGATAAGAGCCAGTGACTGGCTGTTTTGCTTTTCTGACCTTCATCTTGAACCACAATATCTATCTCTGGGTTTTTATTAATTGTGTATATTTGTCACCCAATATTTGTGGCACAAATTCATAAAAAAAAAAAAACCATTTGCCTGATGCTTCTTAGCCACTAGCACATGCCAGAGCCTGACCCAAATCCAACCACCTGAATTTTGAAGAAAAGATTAGCACCACCCTTACTTAGCTTCCTCTCCTGGTCTGCTGTCTACCCATGGCTTACCACAGTATGCTGCCACCATGCACAGCACCCATATAGCTTCCTGTGCCCACATTGCGTCTTTCTGTGGCTCCTTTTGATCCCGTGGCTTGCAGGCAATCCTTCACATGTCTCCCACATGCTGCCTGTTACTCACATTGACATGTGCACCTGCTCCATAGATGCCCTGACCAGCATGTCTTTAACAAAAATCCTTTCAGGTTGGTTTTGAGTTCTGCTGACGAAATTTACAGGGTAGCAACATTGGAACAAGTAAGCCCAGAGCTCCAGCACCTCTGGACAACTTTAGCTGTATGACTGTGATGCCTGCTGGCCCACATTGTCATTACACCTTAAAATTCTCATCTGAACCAGGGTTATAATGAAGGTGAGTCATTTGATAATG